CCCCCCCGATAAAAATAACACCCCCAAAACCTTAAAGAATATTAAAATAAAGTTTGATTAATTTATTAATTTAATTAATTTAAATTAATTTAAATTAAAATTTGCAATTAAATTCATTTTTTTTTCAATATAAAATGAAAATTTCTAGAAAATTCAAAATTTCAACAATTGAATAACAAATTAAAATCCGTATTGAAGAACACTGTGCAAGCGCAAAAAAAAATCTCTGAAGTGCATAAGAAATCGATGGAATTAATTGAATTTTTTTGTCTATCATCCCTTTGTCCCTGAAAAAAACCATCATCTGAAACTTTGAAACAGTTCACAACGAATCAATTCCGGTGTATACCCCGGGGTGTCTTGAGCAGTTAAATTGTCATTTGGATATCAAAGGGAAGGCAACACCCCCACCCACCCCGGTAATTTAGCCAACACCGAAATATCAAAACGTGTCTGCATGTTTAGCACGAGGTAAAACGTTTGTATTGGTGAATGAAATAAACTTTGTATATTCCATAGGCACAATTCTCCCATATCCCGTATTTTCTCACTGGGATGAATTTAACCTCCCTTTTCCTGGACGAAACAAACAGCCCTCAGCTATTGTTGCTCAAAGCATAATGGAATCACGGGGTTTCTCTCCTCACGCCTTAGCTCAGGACGAGCTGCCAGTTAACTGGGGCTTAATGGCCTTGCAATTGGATTTTACCATTGCTCACTTTCCCCCGAGGGATGTGTCGTTTCACGCCTACCGATTTCATTCCTCAATCCCGATGTGCATTTATTTGTTATTTTTTTCAATTATGCTAAATCCACCGAATCACTCGCTGAGAAAATAAATCCCAAGTATCCAATTACTTGACACAATTGTCCATCAATTTTTTTCATTTTTCTTCATCATGCTTTCAATTCTTTTTTTTATTATGGAGTGATAATTATTTTTTGGAGATTTTTAAAAGGATTTGGTATACTATTTTTTCGTTGAACATTTGTGAGTATCAGAATGATAATTAAGACCCGAGTGATAATACGGGTTCGTTCAGATTTCCAAGGCCGGTGGTTAATTCAAGGTAATATCATTAACGGGGCATTTTCCAGTTTTCACCCTAATCCTGGTGGAATCCACTGAGCAAATTCCCCAGTCTCTCCCTCCGTCTCATTTCACAACTCATACCTTGAACCTCCACCTGGTCGAACGTACAACTGACGGAAGTTCCTTTTCCCCTAATTATGACTCCGTTTCATCTTCTCTCTTCAAGATCTCATTAATGTTTTACACCCGGACGGGGTTAAGTCCAGTGCAAAATTACGGGTGCATTTTCTCAGGTGAAGAGACGGTTTAGAAGAGGTCGACGAGACCCTGATGAGTTCAATGCGTCTCATCGATCTGAAAAGTATTGGTTTACTGTGTGTAAAGCTCCTTTGACTGCCTTCCCTTTCATCCTTCGACAAGTTATTTCGTTCCGAGACACTTTTCCGTCATTTTCATTATTTTTCTGTTTTTTCCCATAATTTTTTTCATTAACTCAATAAAATACAAAAAAAAACCGAATTCACATTCATCTGCATGTGAAATATCGTTAATATATTATCCAAAATATCCATAAATAAAAAATATATTTATAATATTCCATTTTCGATGTGCATAATTTTCATGATCTCCAAAATTTGCACATATTTATTAATAACGGTCGATCAATTTTTTATCGATACTGCATTGAAAATGGAATACAATTTGAACCGTGTGGGTCCCTCGATTGCACTTTTTTTTACATTATTTTATGATTTTTGTTCCTTGATATATTGAGTGTGACCTGTTGGCTACTTTGTGACGATGCGAACTTCCTTTCTCTTCGTCTTCTGTCGCAGAATCCCTCGCCCAGGAGCTCGAGCAGGAGAGGAAGTCGCGGCAGCACCAGGCAGCCGAGAGGGATCAGGTCAAATCACCCCTTCAAGGTGCGTTTTTTTTTCACTAGAAAATTTTCAAAAAAAAAAAAAAACATACACTTACATCTTCCCATCCCACCGCTCACCCCAGTGCGTTACAAATCACAATTTAATTAACAGACCTCGTTAATTCGATTGAATCCACCAACTCTTGTTTCTTCTCATTCATTTTTTTCTCCTCAAGTCTGTAACTTGGCTAATTTTCTCAAGTTTCTGCACGAATTTTCTTGTTCCCGGGGATAAACTTGGTTAATTAGCGATCCAAGCTAGAATCCAACGACAACGAAGAAACGTAACTCGGTGCTTCTTGCGATGGGATACGTACCCCCAATTTCCACGTGCAAATCCAAAACTTTGGATGTTATCCCTTGAAATTCACAATATTCTCGAGAAAAAAAGGGTCTTGTTTCGATTTTCTTTCTCTCTTTCTCCTCATGCCGAATGGATAATACTGGCGCTTCTTATTCTCGCTGTCAGCCATGACGACGTGCTCGTAAATAACCCCTGCCCCCACTTCCAACATTTTTTTTTTCACTACCTTTCAGTTTCCGAACGCCGCAACAATCCGGTAATAACGATATTCCAGGGCCCTTAGGTCGAGTTCATTCCAGGAATTTGCATTTCATTTTTACTCTGAAAGTTTTCTCAACAACCAATATTCAAACATACATTCATTTTTTCGAACAAGTTCTTCTTCAATTTCTTAATTAACCATTAATTCAAATTACACCATAAATTCCACAATATTTTATACAACCCATCAATACCTATTCACCAAATCCATGCACGTTTAAAATTCCAAAAATTTTCAAAAACCAAAGGCTTAAAAATCCCTAACGGTCTACAAAAATATAAAAGAGTACACCGTAAATAACATGATATTATAAATGACACATCCCCACTATTCATTGAAGCCGAGGATTGAAAATAATTTCACGAGGAAAGATTGAAAAAATTCTCAAGTTCACTAAAAACCCATAGGACCATAATGAAGCTGTTTTTATGGGTCGTTTGAGTCGGTTGTTTGCCAAAGAGTATAAAGCCCCCCACCGGGGGCAGCCGAGAAAACCTCCAACACTATTAATGCATTCTTTTTCAATCATACAAGCGACAGTAGTATAAAAAGTAGCATCATGTCGGCTTATGCCTCCCCAGGCAGGAATTGACAATTGGCCCAAGCTTGGGTGATGGGCGGCCCAACCCCGGCTAAACAAGGCTCGAGCTTGGCATCCAAGGCTGGCTCAAGCCTGGTTGAGCTCTGGGATGATAACGTGCGGGCCTTCCTTGGCCACCAGACTTGAGACTAGCTTGGTTGCCAGACCTTAGCCATGCCTTATATTTATTTATTTAAATTGATAAAAAAATAAAAATAATGTTCATTCAAGCATTTTTGCAGTTGATTAGTGTCTAATTACTCACTCCTAACTTACTTTCCACCGG